ACTGAGCCACCCAGGCGCCCCTAAATAAAATCTTAAAAAAAAAAAAAGTGGAACTATCCTGGCTGAAAACAGGAGGAAGTCTGACAGACTCCCTCGTGCTTTTTTTTTTTTTCCTGAATGTGGAACACTGTTGTTGTTTTTCCCTCCCTCACCCTCTGGGGGTTCCTTAGAGACCTTCCCTTAGCCCTGCCTCAGTTTTAAAAGCCACCACCTTAAGCAGTTCATGTAAGGGAACTCTGGGACCTAGGGAGATAGGAACCTCACTGGAAGAGTGGAGGAGGTCAGGCTTTAAAACTACAACCGATTCAGAATGAGGAGCGAGGACTGGGAAGAAACCTGTCTCCCCTCTACTTGCTCTCTCCAGCAATTCTGGGCATGTACACGCTGATGAGCAACAAGCAATACTATGACGCCATCTGCAGTGGAGAGATCTGCAACACGGAAGGCATTAGCAGTGAGTGTGTCTGGGGGCATGACACCCAGGGCTTTGGCAGGTGGTCCCAAGGTCTGAGGAAAGGTAGCAAAGGGTGAAACAAGGGGATCACGGAGAGAATGTGGTACATGAATAATAAGAGAACCAATGGGGAGGAGATTGTGGAGGACATGTTGGGGTTTCCTTCTGGCCCTCACCCACCAGGTGTGGTGCAACCTGACAAGTATAAGCCAGTGCCAGATGAGCCCCCAAATCCCACAAACATCGAGGAGATCCTAAAGAGTGTTCAAAACAACGACAAGGAGCTGGAGGAGGTGAACCTCAATAACATACAGGTATCTGACCTCCTCATTCTTCAAATAATAAATTCCCATTTAACTATGTGAGTCCCAGATATGTGAGTCCCTTAGCCCGCCATTTCTTCCCGACAGGACATCCCGATACCCATGCTAACGGAGTTATGTGAGGCCATGAAGACAAATACCTATGTCCGGAGCTTCAGTCTGGTGGCCACAAGGAGTGGTGACCCCATTGCCAATGTAAGGCAACTTGAAATCCCTAGCCCTCTCCCCATACCTTGACACGTACCCCTGCCAGGGCTGTCATAAGGGGCTGTGCTGGGGCTGCTATTCCCATCGTGTTCTTAGCATAGCCTGATGGGAGACTCTACCTTCACTCCTATGGCTCAACACTCTGAGATCCTCAGATCACCTTCTGAGAGAGCCACAGCCCTCTCTTCCACCCACCAACTCCACTGCACACTTACCCTCTGTGCTTCCCCTACTACCTGCGCTCCCTTCTGTCTCCCTCTAGCCCCACCGACAGCTCCTCAAGGACTCTTCTCAAAGACCTGTGCTCCCTCTTGCTCCTGTTCTCTCTCTCCTCAGTCATTTGTGAAACCATCCCCTAATCCTAACCCAAGTCCCTACTACCCAGGCGGTGGCGGACATGTTGCGTGAGAATCGTAGCCTCCAGAGTCTGAACATTGAATCCAACTTCATCAGCAGCACAGGGCTCATGGCTGTGCTGAAGGCAGTTCGGGAAAATGCCACACTCACTGAGCTCCGTGTAGACAACCAGGTCAGCATTTCCTTCCCCTGGTCTTTGCATTCAGCTAATATTCACTGAGTCTCTTCCCTCGGGCAGCCACTGGGTCAGGATCTCATCTAATCTTATCTGAATTCTCTTCATTGTCTCTATGAAGGGAGCCAAGTCAGCATCTCTCATCACCCACTGTCACGAAACAAGCTTCTTTGACTCCCCAAAGGGTTGGTGGTGTGGGACCATGAACAACGCAGAGAGGGTAGCTGACAGGTCTCATCTCTCCCTCCCCCAGCGCCAGTGGCCTGGCGACGCAGTGGAGATGGAGATGGCCACCGTGCTCGAACAGTGTCCCTCCATTGTCCGCTTTGGCTACCACTTTACACAGCAGGGGCCACGAGCTCGGGCCGCCCAGGCCATGACCCGGAACAATGAACTACGTGAGTAAACGCAGACATGTTGTGTGGGGGAAAGGGCAAGGAGGGAGAGGATCCTCCTGAAAGCTGACTTAGTGACTAAGAGCCTGGGGTGCTGCCAAAACAAGAGTCACATGAGAAGTACATAAGTGACCAGAAAGTAGATAGAAAAGTCCCCTGCCCCAAATTTATACCTGTAGGAAGGTGGAAAAGAATCTAGACATACCTGTTTGTGGCCATGGTATTTTTACTTGCCATGTCATTTCTTATTTTGCTTTATTAATGGGGGGTGGGCATGCTTGCTGGCCTAAGACATTACCTCTTTATGAGTCTGGCCAAGGAACTGGAAAGGGGAAGAAGGGCACCTTTGCAGGAAGCAGGAGATGGAACAAAGATTTGTGTTTACTCTTTCCCGTTACAGGTCGCCAGCAAAAAAAGAGATAACACTACCTTTTCCCTTTACCAACTAGAGCTGGGAGCCCTGAATACCTAAATCCTCATCTCTCCCCCTTCCTGTAAATAAAGGCCCTTCTGTCCACTCTGCCTGCCTCCTTCCTTGGGCTTTGGGGTGGGAATCTTGGCGCTAACCCCCAAAGGTTACTGCCAATTCATCAGGGGATTATTTATACTCTGGGGATCAGCAGGCAAGAAGGTTCAAGTTACTAGGCGGAGGTGGGGGAGCTCCCTCCCTTGGTGTTCCCCATGGCCCTGCCAATGCTGTTAGTCCCTTCTGCTCTCATAGGGACCTACCCCAGCCCTCTTTCCAGATGTGGCCAGGCCCCCTGGTGCCTACCCACAACCGTCATGTGATCTGAAGGAGGAAAGGACTTTGAGTGGAGGTGGGGAAGAAGGCAGACAACATGAAGGGCAAAGACCTCCTTCTGACAGACTTATTAATAGGGCATTGGGCTGTGTGCAGCTGACGCTTGGCATGACTTTGGTAGAAGGTGGGGGAGGGGTTAGAAGTATGGGGAGCCATGTACATTGCAGGGAAGAGTTAGCCAGGATAAGAGTGCAGATGTGAAATCCTGAAATGGGGGGTGCCTGGGTGGCTCAGTCAGTTAAGCATCTGACTCTTGATCTCAAGTCTTGATCTCAGGGTCATGAGTTCAAGCCCCACCTCGGGCTCCACGCTGGGTGTTCAGCCTCCTTAAAAAAAAATCCACCAATGAAATCCTGAAATGGGACACGGAAGCCGACTCGAGGAAAGTTAGGCTCCCAGAGCCCGCTGAAATTTATTTGTGAACTAAATGGGGAAAGAGGGTGTCAGTCTAAGGGGAGATCAGGGGGTTCTTCTTCATCAGAGTCAAACTCAACATTCTCATCTTTTACCCAGCGACCTTGTCCATCTGGGATCCATCCAGAGCTAGAAATATCAGAGAAAATAGAATAGGTCAGGAAAAGAGGTTTAAGAAGTTAGTGGGGATAAGAAAAAAACAACTGAGAAGGATTGAAATAAGGAGAGTCAGAGAGAAAAGAGAAAACTTGAGGAAAGTGATTCTGCATACTCACCTTCGAAGGGTAAGGTAATGATCCAGGACTCGTCTTCTTGTGGGGCTCATGGGTGCAGAGGACGAGACAGTTGCTGGCTCTTTGGCCTGTGGGCCAACCCCAGGCATGGGTTCCCTAGTGATCTTCCCACTCTCGGGCTCAACCTCTGGGGGTGGCAAAGGGGAATGGGAGACAGAGGGACGAGGGGTTTCTGGTCTGGGTAGAGAAGAATCAATGTCTATAAAAGTGATAAAGGAAAAGGGCCAATTCTCCTATGACTCCCAACCCCTTACAGCAGTGCTTCCTAAACTGTGTTCCTCAAGATATTAATAAATGCCCTGCATAAAAAAGAATTTTGGAATCAATAAATTTTTAAAAGTCTAGGTTAAAATTTTTGAGGTTTTTTTAATCTTAAGACTTTGTAGAGCCCTTCAAATATACTAATATTACTATTCTTCAAGTAGGATTACAAAGTGCAATTTCTGAAACAAACAAACAAAGGCAAAATCCTCTTTTTCCTGAAATAGCAGTTAACATCTCTGGAATACTCGTATTCCTGAGAATACAATTTGGAATACCATCATTTTAGAGCCATTTATCTCCTCTGTCCCTCCCTACCTCTGGCTTTCCAACCCCACAGACCTGTACTTCCGGCGGCAGCAACTGTTATAGTAAGGAGCTCTGTGCAGAGCACTTTGGGTGGTAAGTCGAGTCTGGGTTAACAGAGGAGCCTGGTATGGAGATGGGAAACAGAGTCAGAGTCTTCAGAGCTAGAAAGAAGTCAAAGCCCTTCAAGCCTAAGGTGTGCAGCAGGCCCACCTGAAACACAACCCCCCCCCCCCCCCACTACCTCAGCCTTGGTCTCTGACGGCCTCAATTCATTCTGCTGTCTTGGACTCTGGTCCATTCCCTTTCCTGGCTGCTTCTTGCCATAGAAAAGCTGCAGGCCTGAGGATTGAGGGGAAGAGAATTAAAAACAGAACAGCAGAGTATCTGCAGACATTTGGAGTTTATTCTCTAACCCCCTGTCTTCCCTCAAACTTACTGGACAGATGTTTCTTGCCTGCACGGTGGGCAGTCAGCATGGCCAGGGTGTCCAGTACAGGTCGGTGGGGACAGATGGCACAAGCAAAGCTGGAGATGAGGAGAGAAGATATTTGGTCCCGGGTGAGTGGGGTCTGGGCTGTTGGTCCCACTTGACCTAGCAATCCTTTCCAAAGCCAAACTCTGAGGTCTCCCAATCTCCACCACCCACATCCCTGTCCCTCACTCCCCACCAAAGAATCCTAGATACTCCCGCTCTCCCCGCTTGATAACAAAATTTTATTAAGCTTCTAACCGCAGAACCCTCAGGCTTGATCACCCCTCGCGCTCACCGTCCATCCCGTAGCATCAGCGCCTCATCCTCTGGGATGTAACTGGCCAGCAGGTCCCCCACTCTTCGTTTCTACAGGGGGTAACGGGACGGCATCGGCCGGATAGGAGGGAGGGACGGAAGGGAAACGACAGGGACGAGGATTGAAAGGGAGTAAGGACCATGAGAACAGAAATCAGAGCGAAAAAGGGGTCACTACCCAGCTCTAGCCGCTCCCTCCCGCGTCCTCCCCCCAACCGCAGCTGTTGCCAGAGCAACAAAACAGCTCCTTCACAGGGCAGTGAAACTGCTCCCAACGCTCTCCTCTTGCGCTTACTTTAAGCACGTTGAGTTGACTCCAATCATCCCCTTCCCTCTTGAAAGACATTACGATTGAGTCCCAGAAGCGAGCAATTCTCCTGAGCCGCTTCCGCCGCTCCTTCCAGGCCACGGTAGCAAGAATGGGACTTCTCCTATTTCCTTCGGCTTTCTTTCCGGTTGGCCTCCTTATTGCCCTGGAAGCGCTTCCCTGTATGCGCCGCGCTACCCGAAAGCCCGCCCACAGCCTGCCGAGGGGACCGCACTTCCGGCGCGACCCGGCGACCCCGCACACGCGGGGCCTTTTGGGAAATGAAGTCTTTTTTTTTTTTTCAAGGAGCTTGCCGCCCAGCTGGCTCCTGGCCCTTGCATCTTGGCTGATTCGAGGCGTATGGGGAGACAAGAACCTAAACGTGGAGACCGATTTTGATGCTGTGACAGATTTGATGGGGAGCGGGCCTTGGAGGATCTCTGAGTGGAAAGTGAACTACAAACTCTCGCGGTCATCACGCGCCTCCTCTGCCGCCGACAGCCCACCAGGGGTGGGCCGGATTTATTCCTGACACTAGCGGACCAACCCCGCGACGGGGCGGAGCCAGGGAGTTGGGGGAACCCAGGAGGCGGGGGCTGCCCGACCTGGGGGCGGGTGGCAAACTGAGCGGAGTGTGGAGGAGGGTAGCTACAGTTCAAAGGTCAGAGGTCAACATAGCGAATTGTGAGAGGGTCGAAAGTCAGCAGGGTGCTAAGGATAGACTCAGGTAGGGACTGAATCCTCGGCACAGATTTGTGGGAAGGGGGCTTGGAAGGAGGACAAACGACAGCCGAGGGGGCGCGAAGTGCCGGGGGAGGCGGAGAGTTAGGAGAGGAGACAGAAGGGGAAAGGAATCCCCTGGATATCCATTCCTAGACCCCAGTCCCAACACTGTCGGGCACTTAGCCAGGCCTCCCTTAGTTGCAACCCCGGCTGTCAACAGGGTGAGGAGATGACTTCTCCCTCTAGACAGGCCCCCCTCGGGGGGTCAGGACTGCTTCAAGGGAGCCGGGCTCGTTCTTACGGAAGCCTGGTGCAGTCTGCCTGCTCCCCGGTGAGGGAAAGACGCCTGGAGCATCAGTTGGCCCCCGGAGACACCCTGGCTGGACTAGCACTCAAATACGGGGTGACGGTGAGTTTTCCACGATCGGCATGCAGACTACCATTTAGAAGAAATTTATTCCTCATTAGAATGTAATGACTCTTCTAAGCAACTTCCCCTGAAATTTTCCTGATTGTGGTCTGATCCACCTTTATCTTTTTGTTTTCCCATCTCAGTGTTGCCCTGTCTGGTTGGGACAAATCCTGTGCCACTATCCCAGTGGAGAGGAGCTGCTTCTATTTATTATGTCAGTCTCTATCCTAGAGGCTTTACATACATTGGCCCATTTGATTCTCACATCCCTATCAAACGTACAATTATTGTTTCCTGTTTACAGAAGAAGAAACTGAGACTTAGATTGGCTAACCAATTTGACCAAGATCAACTAACTAATGAGTATTAGAGTGGGAATTCAAACAGGTCTAACTCCAAAGCTCGTACTGTTAACCACATAGAAACTTTTTAATTGCAAGTGATTAAGCATTACAGCAAACAATGGAGAGCTGATTTCTAAGTTTTTATGAGACCAGTATTCTAACCACTCTAGTTCTAAGTTTTGTTTGTTTTTTGTTTTTTTTTTAAGATTCATGTATTTATTTGTGGAGGGTGGGGGTCTGAGGGGCAGAGGGAGAGATAGAAAGAATCCCAAGCAGACTCACAGGCAGGCATGGAGCCCCACTCGTGGCTCCACGCCAGGACCCTGAGACCAGGACCTGAGCAGAAATCAAGAGTCCATTGCTTAACTGACTGAGCCACCCAGGCACCCCAGTTCTAAGTTTTTATTTTTATTTATTTATTTTTTTTTAAGATTTTATTTATTTGAGACA